CAAGGATGGAACGCGAGAACGTTTCGCGAGAGTTTTAGCGATTCCGTTGGAGAGATGACCGCTGTCAGCAATCGCGGAGGAGTTTGGCTGGCCGCAGCGGAAACGCAAACGGGATTACGTCGCCATCTGGCGGAGAGGTGGCGGTAAAGGCAAATAAAAAGAGGTCGGCCTGCGACGCGAGACAATCGCGCGACAATTATCGGGGATCGGAATTTCGATGCACGCCGGTCACCGCAAATTTCCACGGAAGCTAACCGATTGCACGGCACGTTACACGCGGGCACGTTGCAGGGGCGAATTCGCCATGGAGCAAGCCATAGAGACGAGGGTGGAGTAGGAGGCGGAAAGAGCGAGGAGGAAAAGTTGCATGGCGAGAGGAGAGGGCTCGGCGTGTGGCGAGCGGAGCGAACAGTCGAGCGTAGAGGTGCTCGCGTGGCGGCTCGCGTGAGTTGGCGCGGAACTCGCGACCAGGCCGCCGAAGCGTACCGGCGCGTACCGGCGCGTCTAGTCCGCGTGCTCGCGCGGAGAGTAGGGCAGGAGGGGTGAACGAAGAGGAGCCGTGGCACACTCAGTCGGCGGTGAGACTCCGCGTGCGACATCTCGTTGCCGTGTGGTTCTTACCCACCCTTTACTCCGCACCGGTCTCCGCGATTTCCGCTCGCACGTCACGTGTGTGCGTGTGCGCGCGTGTGAGTGTGTGCGTGCAAACGCGATCGCAGAGAGTGCCGCTCGAGAGGAGAATCGCGTTCGCTCGGACGAGGATTATAGAAAAGTGCTGCATCTTTCCACGGCGACGAGTTCGCGCTCGATCGGCCCCGATCGTCGTCGATCGTCCTCGATCGGGATCGAACGGTGTCGGTGTAGCTGGAACCCGTGGTTCGGCACACCAGGTAGGGCCCGGTGAGCGAGTTTGGCGAAACGGTGTTGGGCCTACTGGTTACATATCGTTCTATGATTCGGTCGGAGCAGAGACCGATGCACGGCCGCGACAAAAATATCCACGAAAAATCTCGGCAGTCGGCCAAGCGGCCTCGAAAGATCGCCACACAGTTCGAGGAACGGCTTTGATAAGATAATTTAAAGGAGAATTCTGCATTTCGCCCGTGCTCGCGGACGTTGCGCAATTTTTCTGCGAAAAAGAGGTAAAACTGGCGGTGAGCTCGCGCGATGGACTTTGGAAAAAAGATCAGCGGAGAGCACTCGCGACGGTGGAGCACGATGCTCGCGTAAATTCGAGAAAATTCGTTTTCCATTTTAATTATGCAAAGTAGCGTGGTCCGCCGTCGAAATTGTCTTCTCGTGCTCTAATCACTGCCGGTACGAAGATTGACCGTCGAAAATGCCGGGGAAAAAAGTCAGGCACGAAGGGCGGCCGCTTTTTACGAAGTAGCTGTTCACGTGGTCATGCATATTCAGCCTGCCAAGGGAAAAACAAACGAAGGAAAAGTTTATACCGGGACGGCAGGAAAAGCGCCGCGGCGATTTTACCGCGACGCGTGCTTCCTCTTTCCC